AGCATACGCAGCTACACCTGGCTGAGCCTGGATTTTTAAGTTATCTAAATCAACACATATCTTGTTTCTCATGTAGTATGGTATTGAAATGACATTTGAAAGAGGACCAATACTGAGGGCTGATGTGATGGCAAATTCCTGTAATCTCAGCTATTCAGGAAGTGCAGGTAGGAGGATCTTGGTTTGAGGCCAGCCCTGGACAAAAGTGCAAAACACTATCTCAAAAAACTAAAAGCAAAAAGACTGGGAGCATGGCTCAAGTGACAATAAGGCAGTGAGTGTAAGGCCCTGAATCCAATCCCCAGTACCACCACCAAAAAAAAAAAAGAAAGAAAAAGACTTAGTATTTTTAACATCCTTCTAGAATGTTAACCAATGTTAGAGATGGGACAAATGTGAAATATTTAACTTTCCTCCACAGTGCACTCTTACACCCTGCTTCTGCTTCGGTTCTTCTGACAGTGAGTAGAGAGTAACACTTCAGAAAACTATCAGATGTAGAACAGCTTATATGAAAGTTCATTCTTCTAAGAATGAAAACCAACAAAATGTAGCTACAATACCATATCCATTGTTCCTCCATTTAAAAACAAGTTAGCAAAGGTGTACCACTCAGTCACAAAAGTGCCCAGCCTAGAATCAAACTAAGCCTTTGCTCCAAAGAGCAGACAAGTGGTCAAGCCTGACAGACTATACACAGTACATTCTGAAAAAAGTATTGCAACACCAGTCATCTCAATGTCAACAATTTCAGCTCTTTGAGGTCATGTGAATTGTCTGAGACCTGGTTATTTTCTCCTCCAGAAATGTGAGATATTCAATTTCTGATATATTCCAGTTAATTGACAATCATTTGGCCATGTTTTTGGCTTAAGGAATTAGAAAAGAAATGGATCCATGTTCTGCTCCCTCTCCCTAAACCTAAGCAACATTCTCTACCATAGGCAGGCAAGGTTGCTTTTCACTGAATTCTCATGAATGGGAGAAGATCTGCTCTAACCTACAGATTCTTTTGGTGCCCCAAATGCTACCACAACTTTTCTTTTTTTGAGATGGCAATCAGATTTCTCTGACGCAAACTGGCATCTACTTTATTACCACTATGTCTTAAAACTAGTCAATATAGGAAGGATGGTGTGTGGCTGCTGTATACAACTACAATAGGCTAGTTGGCATTAATGACAGCTATAAATTCTCTAACTGAAAATGGATGATAAAGAAGCTAGCTAGCAAATGATTGTGCCACACCTGATGTCAATGTGACATTAAGTAAAATATTTCAGTGGACTGTAAGATTTCAGAACTTCTGACCAATGTGAAAATGGCTGGAAATGATGCAGATAAAAATCATAGGGGGGGCTAAGCTGGAGTACACCTTGAAATGCACCTGAGTTGCAATTTGAAGCCAAGTCATGGAAACCATCTTCATTACAAACAGATGTCAAGCAAGGACACCTTATATAAATTCTTTTACATGGTAAAAGATCTGAAGGAATGTTGATGTAATTCTTTTATCACTTTCTGATGCCTCATAACAACTCTTTATTATCATAGGGAGAAGCCCTTTGTCTCCTTAAATAACTAAAACCCAATTATTATTATTTTAAGAGGCACACCACTCCCCCCATTAACATGTCTGATTTAAAATGAGGCTTATAACTACATTTCTCTTAGTAGGCTATAAAATGGTGAACTTTACAAACTATGGTATCACAGATTCAGTGAAACATCAAATTCCATGAAGCCCTCACTACAGTAGTTCCCTCATCATGGATATCAGAAATACTAGCTTTTAAAGCACAAATTTCTGAGCCAACCACAGAGGTAGAGAATGAGAAACCCTAGGAGCAAGTATTAAAATGCATGGTTAACAAGCTATCCAGGTAACCTCATTCAGGTTCCTATTCTAAATGGTTAAGAATTCAGTTACAGGTTCCTATTCTAAATGCTTAAGAATTCTACATAGCCACTCCATGTATGCTGCCTTTAAATATGCAGTGCTGAACTGCCCCAAGGTAGACACAATTCTGTCAGCGAAACCTTTGACACCAGAAATGAAGGAACAAACTGGTTCCACCTGCAAAACCCCTGGATGAAAAGCAATACTGGCATGCTATTTCTACCTCAAAAAATAAAGACAGGTTAGCAGCCATTTGCAAAGAAAAGAAGCTTTTAATGTAACAGTGTCTGAAAAGGTGTCAAATGAAACAATTTAGAAATTCACACAAAGGACTGATAACCAGAATATACAGGGAACTTAAAAAACTAAATTCTCCCAAAACTAATGAACCAATAAAGAAATGGGCACGTGAACTAAACAGAACTTTCTCAAAAGAAGAAATTCAAATGGCCAGAAAACACATGAAAAAATGCTCACCATCTCTAGCAATAAAGGAAATGCAAATTAAAACCACGCTAAGATTCCACCTCACCCCTGTTAGAACAGCCATCATCAGCAACACCACCAACAACAGGTGTTGGCGAGGATGCGTGGAAAAAGGAACCCTCTTACACTGTTGGTGGGAATGTAGACTAGTACAACCACTCTGGAAAAAAATTTGGAGGCTACTTAAAAAGCTGAACATCGATCTACCATTTGATCCAGCAATACCACTCTTGGGGATATACCCAAAAGACTCCTACTCCAGAGGCACCTGCACATCCATGTTTATTGCGGCACTATTCACAATAGCCAAGTTATGGAAACAGCCAAGATGCCCCACCACTGACGAATGGATTAAGAAAATGTGGTATTTATACACAATGGAATTTTATGCAGCCATGAAGAAGAACGAAATGTTATCATTCGCTGGTAAATGGATGGAATTGGAGAACATCATTCTGAGTGAGGTTAGCCTGGCTCAAAAAACCAAAAATCGTATGTTCTCCCTCATATGTGGACATTAGATCAAGGGCAAACACAACAAGGGGACTGGACTATGAGCACATGATAAAAGCGAGAGCACACAAGGGAGGGATGAGGATAGGTAAGACACCTAAAAAACTAGCTAGCATTTGTTGCCCTTAACGCAGAGAAACTAAAGCAGATACCTTAAAGCAACTGAGGCCAATAGGAAAAGGGGAACAGGTACTAGAGAAAAGGTTAGATCAAAAAGAATTAACCTAGAAGGTAATACCCACGCACAGGAAATCAATGTGAGTCAATGCCCTGTATAGCTATCCTTATCTCAACCAGCAAAAACCCTTGTTCCTTCCTATTATTGCTTATACTCTCTCTACAACAAAATTAGAAATAAGGGCAAAATAGTTTCTGCTGGGTATTGGAGGGGGGGGTGAGGGAGGGGGCGGAGTGGGTGGTAAGGGAGGGGGTGGGGGCAGGGGGGAGAAATGAACCAAGCCTTGTATGCACATATGAATAATAAAAGAAAAATGAAAAAAAAAAAAGAAATTCACTTCTACTGACTGGTGTCCTTTGAAACTCATTTAATGACCACTAACTACAGGTAATGAATGGTATCATTAATTATGTAGCATATCTGATACTATAATACTACCTTAACAAGAGCCTTGAAGAGCTGATAATGAAAGTCAGTAGGAACTAACTCTGCTTAAGATGTTCACATAGCTTTCTCACTAGCATACAAGGCTCACCATGGTCTACTACAGGAGAAACAGGAAATCAAAATATGCTACTGTAATCATTTGTGTGTGATTTTGGTCTAAGTAATCTGATCCCTTGTGTTGGTTCCTGTATCCGCCACCATACTCAAGATACTGTACATTGCCACAAGTAAACTTCACAATGCGCCTTTTTTACCCTTTTTCTTTCTTCCTATCAAGAAATGTTAGTCTTTAAAGAGTTGAGAAACATAAGAATCTGTGAACAAATCTCCTAATAATACCTGTATAAAATCGAAACAATTTACTTAAGTAGTAAACAGTCAGAAAACTCAAGAGACTAACAATCTCCAGAAAGGTACAGGTCCAAGGTATCACTAAAACCTGATGCTGATTTACCAGTACTGCCAATTTCCTGTTGAATGGCATTCGGTAAGTTAATTAACTTTTATTTTTCAAACTTAAATGGAAATCTCTGTACCCTGTAAGGCACTGTGTGAGTAAGAATACATTGTTACACTGGTGTATCACTAGTCCTGCAAGGTGATCACAATTCCGAGGAGGTCTTGGGGGTCTGTTATCAGCATCGACCTTTAGAAATTCATATTGTTATCTGTAAAACTGGGAAAGTAGAGAAAAGCACTTATTCACTGAGTTGTGAGAAGCAAATAAATGAACACGTGAAATCACTTGGTAACCATGCCTAGGACATAGTAAGCATATGATATTTAGTGTCCAAAGTTTTCTGCCTAAAACGAAACAAAGATCCTATCAATTAGGTAAGCCTATATCATAGAAAACAAATTTTTAAGTGGAGGGTGACAAACACTCCATCCTCCCCACCAAGCAGGCGACATCAATCTCAAATAATCAACCCATCACTCATTATTTAGGGACAGAGGCACTTAACAGGGCTGAGAACATACGAGCAGGAAGAATTCTTTAATAAAGAAAGAAAAAGCGTGACCAGCACATTCATCAATGACACCGAACACCACTGGGCATCGTTAGTGAAAATAAAAAGTACCTCCAGGTTAGCAAAGACTCAAACTTTGCAAGGGAGTCAAGATGGCCCTGGGGTGCAGACCCCACACCCAACTCCATCCCAGCTCGTTCATCCGGAGCTGCGGCGCGGTCCTGACCAAGGTGCGGCGCGGACGGAGCGCGGGCCGCCAGGTGCAGCGCCGCCCGCCCTCCGCGGAGCCGGGCTCGGGCCGGGGATGCTCGGGCGGGACAGGCCCGACACGGCCGACCGCGCTCGGGTCCGAGCCCGGGCTCCGCGCCCCGCCGGCGACTGCGGGATGCACGGAGGGCGGGAGTGACCCAAGGTGGGCATGCGGCCCCCGAGCTTCCCACGGGTCCGTCCCTCCCAACCCTGGGCCCTGGCGCCCTTGCCACCCCTCCCCCTCCGCGCGCCTCACCGGCCTCCCGCGCCTTCCGCCGCGCGAGCCGCCCGCCCGCGGTCAGTCAGTCCTGCCGGAGCCGACAGGAGCCGCCGCCGCGCCTCCGCTTGCTCCCGGACTGCCCCGGCTTCCCCTCACCCCGCCAGCGGCCAGGAGGAAGCCAGCTCGCCCTCGGGCCTCCTCCCTCCCACGCCGCCCCGCCGCGGCCAATGGGTCCCGCCGCCGGGAAGCCGCGCGCGCCCCCTGGCGGTGGAGGACCGCGCGGTCGCCGGCCGGCGGGGACGAGGCCTGGGGCCCGAAGCTGGGAGCCGGGGCCGGGGAGCGTTCGGCCGCCCCGCCCTGCGCCCTCGCCCGCGTGGCTCCGTCTGCGCCTGCCACGTGGGAGGTGCCGCGTTGGCAGCCGGGTGGTACCCCTGGAGGAGGGAAAATGTGACATGGCCTCCTCCCCCATCCACACAGAATCCCGACTTTAAAGGCAGAAATCCTAAAGTGACCAGCCCCATCCTAGAGATCCCGTAAGGGCATGGTCCTGTCGCCCTAACACCTTCAGGTGATTGGGCTCCTGAAAACTCGGTAACAGATCATGAAAAGCCTGTATGTCCGGGGCATTATAATGAATTCTGGTAACCTTTAATGCATGACCCAAGAGAAAAAGTTGTTAGCGCTTGCGTTTTGTATGTCATCTTTGTTTAAATCATTAGCAATATAATCTCCTCTTGTCAGGAGATTTTTCCCCATGATTGTGTTGAGAGCTGGGAAGAGAGCACAAAATTATTTCATAATTCAGATCCGTAGTCCAGAAAAATTAACAACTGTTAACTATTTTTAGGATATTGGGACACTCCATGCTAGTTAAAATTAAATTGCATTGAAGACATAATAGGGTTTGACTAATAGCAGTTATTTTACCAAATCTCAGCTTTCCTCAAGAAATATCTGATACACAACCTAAATAATAGCTACGAATTTTGGAGTGTCATCAGGGAGTGCCTTCTATGTGGCAAACGCTTGTGGGCCTTAATGTATGTGTTCTCATTTAATACTCACAAGTTTAGTACAGAGATTTTATTTGTGTATTACTTTAACAAGTCAAAACACCAGGTCTCCAAAACTGAGTTTAAATAACTTGTTCAAAATACAACGTTAACAAGTTCTGAAATTGAACTTCAGGCCTATCTCCATCTAGCTCCAAACAAGAATGCGCTTTGGTTACTATGGAACCAAACCCTCCACAATACTTATTGTGAACATGCTTCCCCTTAAGTCTCCCTGAAAGAATTTATGAAGCCTTTTGAATAGGGAGATTCATGTGTTTGTGAAAGAGCTTTTTGCTGTATTACCCAACTGGCCTATGTGGAAATTACATTTGTCTGATTTGAATATGCCATACCTGAAACAATTTCTGTTCCTAAAATGCATTGTGTTTGATGCCCGATTCCCCATCAACCTTAAGATGTGGAGTAGATAATGAAACTAATGTAACAGTGAGGCATAGCCAACTTTTGTGTTGGTTTTGATTCACTGACCAGAGTTCACTTGAAGATAAGTAGCATTCCTGAAATGTGTGCTGGACTTTGTGTGGATAATTGTCTGTCTGTGTGTATTACAATGTAAATTATTACTTCTTAATATGAGCTGATTTTTTTAAAGTTGGCAAATCGCTTCTTTAGAACTCCTATTAATCATCCAGTTGTTCCATCTATAAGAATGTAAAGATAAGTTCCTATTTTTATTTATTAAGGACTAGAGGAAGCAGTGGAAGTAATCAGAATTAATGATTAAGTTTAAAAAATACAGAGAACTTTACAACTCTAGGATTCACAAACCAAACTAGTGTTACTATGTCATAAAATAATAGGTGATGATAATTTATATTTTTAAAGTTAATGTTTCTTGTATACCTACTGTGTGTATAAACCTATAAAAATATATTCACTCATTTAATCATCAAAATAATCTTATAAATACAGAGGAGAAAAAGAAAGGACTAGAAGAGAATGTTGCCCAAGGTCCTACTACTAGGACAAGACAGAGCCAAGATTCAAATGCACACAACCAACTTCAAAGCTCATCTCTTCTGTTAGCTTGAAAAGAGTATTCATTCTCTATTCAATAAGTGCAGAGTTTGATATAAAACGATCATCTGTACTATGTCCCATTTAGGAATTTTATCATATTAACCACTAAACTTATGAAAAGCCTCAGATTTTTAACTGGTTCCACTGTCAAGCAAAATAGTCCATTCGGAATCATTTTTCTGTATATAGTTAGTGGGTTGTATGTCAACAGGGCTTCATGCTTCATGCTTGTTTGTGCCACATTAACCATCAAGAAGTGATGAACATATACCCTCTTGCACCTCAGCTGGCCCTGGAACTTCTTTTAACCTTAGGATACCATGGAGGTGATGCTATGTGACTTCTGAACTTAGGTCTTAAGAGACATTGCAGCTTATATTTTCACTGCCTTAGGATACTGTCACTATATAAAGCAATGCAGATTAGGCCACACATAAGAAAAAAAAAAAAAAAACGTGCAGAAAGAGGAAAAGCCATTCCAGCTGAGGCACCAGGTATGTGAGTAAACTTGTCTTGTACATTCCAACCTGCTATGGTTTGGATAAAGTCCCAGTGCCATGTGTTAAAGTCTTGGTTGCCAGCCTCTGGGCTATTGGGAGTTGTGGGAACTTTGAGGACATGAGGACTAATTGGAAGAAGTGAGGTTACTAGGGGCATGCCCTTGAAGGGGATATTGGAACCCCAGTGTTTCCTTCTCTCTTCTGCTTCCCAGCAACTATAAGGTGAGCAGCTTCCTCCACCAAGTGCTCCCACCATGATATGCATGCCTTGCATAGGCCCAAAAGCAGTGAGCCAACCAACCATGGGCTGAAACCTCTGAAACACTGAGCCAAAATAAACTTTTTCTCCTTCTAAGTTGTTTATCTCAGGTGTTTTGCCACCATGAGAGAAAGCTGACTTATGCACAGCCCCTGCTAAGCTTCTAAATGAATGTATCACAAAAGTGACTCAAAACAGTACCAGCAGAACTACTCAGCAAGCAGCTAACCCACAGAATCTTGAGAAACAACACTTTAAGTTGTGAAATACTGTGGTACCTCAATACGTAACCGAATCTTGGAGGAACAAGTTTTGGGGGTGGGAGGGCGGGGAAGTTGCCCAGCTCTGAAGTAGGATTCCATTAAAATAATAAAACATGTTTATATTATATTAAAAATGAAAACTTCAAGGGAAGGTCAGAAACTCACCCAGCTTTTAAAGAACTGCAGAAGAAGATTTATTTTTTAAAAAAAGGTGGAGTACTTGTGGGAGGGAGGAGGGTGAATAGAGGAGATGGAGGTAGGTGAAGGAATATGGTTGATGGGCTCCATATACATACATGAAACAGAAAGATGAAACCTCTTGCAATTGCTTTAAGGGGGACAGGGAGGGAGTTGCTAAGTGAAGATGGTAGGGGAGATCTAACCATTGTACAATATAAGGCCATTCAGAATTGGCACAATAAATTCCCCCTGTACAATGAATATATGTTAATAAAGATGAAAAAAAAGGAAGAGTAAGTAAGTTGGAAAAAAGGTAGACTAATAAATATAAAAGTGGCAACTTTTATATCCATGTTAGGTAAAATACAAAAGTCCTGTGTGATTGAAAATCTATTGTTCAGAATTTTTATAAAAAATTGATTCAGAACACTCAACTTTCTCCTTCCTATAATAGCAAAATAATATGAAGAAGCTGGAGTGCTCACAGATTTCACACCACTGTATTCAATACACTCACAAGACAGTCTGGAAACTACATGGTCTGATTGACTATGAGACATATATAAAATACAATGCAATCATATTATAGCAAATGTGCCTTTGCAAAAAACATTCTAAGTTTTCAATATATCACCACTGTTCTAGTAATATGTAAGAAAATTCTACATACCATAAAAATTTGTATTTTTAACTGATATTTTCATTCTATTTCCAAGGGATTCTTGTTTGAATTAGATCTTTCAATAGGTCTTTACATGTGGGAAAATTTGGCATTTTAATTTAATTAAGTTATAAATCATATTAGATGATACATTGTATATGGTAACCCACATCTCAAAAATGTACTCAAAGAGTAACTGTAGCTTCCCAGCCCTTGAAATTATATACAAATGTGTATTACAACAATTATTAAGATTATTAGTGGTTTCCTCAGAAGAATAATTTATAATTCTGTCATAAAATATTACCTTCTAAAAAAATTGCTGATTTAGTATCATAATTCTTAAAATGTTTTTTTTAAAAAAAGACTTATGTGGCATCATTTGTAATGCTGAACAAAAATGCATAGACCATGGGTCAGCCTAACCCCTTCACACACATACACAGACCCACACAGGCACACATGCGAACACACACACACACACATGCAAAGACACAGACACATGTGAATGCACACACAGACACAGGCATACATGTGAACACACACACACAGATACACACAAGCACGCACATACTCCTAACATGTACCTAGTATACATATAGCTGGTAAGGTATTTTAAAAGTTATATTTGTCAGATCTTGGAAGGAAAGTATTTTAGTTTTTCACTGTCACAGAGCAAATAGGAAAAGGTGATTATACCCTTGACATTCATATATTCCTAAGCAAATGCAATAAATAAGCCTCAAGTCATCTTAAAGTACTTCTGTTCACACTCCATTGGTGAGGATTGCAGAGCGGGGACGTAGGCCTAAAAATACTCAGAAGAAGCAACTGCACAAATACTGATTACACTTTGACTTTTCCTAATATATAGTTGCTTAGGTCTGTAACTTCAGCTCTTTAATTCTGAACTATGCATGGGAACTAAACACAAAAAGAGTCACTGGGCTTATGGTATTTTTTAAAATTAAATATTAACCTCTATAGTTATAGTAAATGGAAATATTGTTTGCATTGAAAGGCAAGACAGTAGGAATATGGGTAACACAATATCCCCAATTGTTAGTATTGCATTAGGAACTATTCTCTAGTGAATTTCATGGTCACTGCAACCAGTTCAGCAGCACTCCAGAGGCCAAAGCCCCTGTGGTCACAGCTGGTCTAGGAAATAACACAAGTAACAAAACAAACATATAGAATAAAACAAAGTAGAACCTGCTACATGTAT